TATCGGGGTTCAAACAAAATTTTAAAAAATGTACTTACCTTTTGGAAATTCTATAATAAGCAACTATACAAAAATTATTCTTAATTAGAAACTATACACTTTTTATTCAACAACTAAAAATACTTTTAGTGAATTATTACGCACCAGTTAATTGAAAATTTTAAAATACTGACTAATAGAGGTTTGAAAATCTCTTTGATTCCCCTGACTCGAGAGTTCTTTTTCAACTCTACATGGAGAAGAAAATGCTGCATCATTCACATTCTGCTGCATAAGAGAGAGGTATGTTTTCACAGTTTACAAAAATGTAAGACATTAGAAAATGTAACTGTTTTGATAGGAGTCAATTTCTGCATTAGAATCGCTATTTATTGGCTCCGACCAGTTAACAATCTCCTCAACTTCAGCCACTCAGATAGACAGTCCGTTATCAAAAGTATTATAATCGCGAAAATCTTACAATATCCCTTACGTTGTGGATTAGGATGAGATAAGAAAGGAATTTCCTGCCCCACTCAGAGCTCACACGATAGGTTACACTCATGACTCATCTGCATCTGTAAAATCTAATAATGATCTTCACCCTTTCCCGTTGAAATTTGCTACATTCAAGAAAAGTATTTTTCTGTTCCTGGCAAAAAGAGATATGTCATTTGAATAAAAAGCCAACTTAATAATAAAAAAAAAAAAATTCCAGCTGCTAAAGTAATTTGTTAGTTTGGAGTATATTATTCGTTAAAAAGGGGTGTTTTACATTCATTTTAATCGGGGAAAGAAAACAATTCTTTAAAAATCACGAAATTCGTTAAATTCGTTCTGAAAAACGAAATTCGTTCTGACTGTACATGTATGTATATATATATATATATTATGTATTGGAGTAATTCTTAAAGACTGACAGGAGAAATGTAAAGTGCAGCTGTTTATCATATAATATTTTATTCCAATGTTCAGCAAAACAGTCCGTACTCCAAGCCCTGACAGAAACAAGTCCGATTTCAGCTTCGTTCAACAGCGAGAGAGTCGTTTGTTCATGTGTTTTCAGTAAGTCCGCCGAAGTAGAAGTCTAAAGTACTTATGTGGGAGGTGGATTGAGTTGTTCTGGTAGGAAGTTTACCCCAACTGACACATAAAGGGCTGGGGATTCAACATATATATATATATATATATATATTATTCTATATAGCTTTACTCAAATTTACAATATTACAATTCTATTCAATCGGTCTTGAATGGAATCTCTTAATAAATTTTTAAATAAAATAAAGTAGTATTTTGAATTTGAATTTTGGATAGAATATTCTATTGTTTTTCAAGTCTCTGTAAAACGTTTGAGTCGGAATATTTTAGAAAAATGTATTCATTTTGAAGATTTAAAAAAATGTTCTAAAAAGGTAAAATAAGAATAATGCATTAAAATATTTCATGTTTCTTGAATGAGCGACAACGAAGTTACAAGGCCAAATTTTAAAAAATAGAATGTATTCTTCTCGTTCTTCTTATTTATATTTCTAGTTTTTTCTTCGTATTGTAAAGTTTGTTCCGAAATTTTATATTTTTGTCAAGAAAAAAAATAACATGCTTTTTGCTCGTTAAACAACTTCAACGCGAATACACACTCAATACAATAACCAGCATATTTCTTTCTTTATTTATATTTTTGTGGAGAAGATGTCATTCTCTTTTCTAAGTAATTGGAAATACGATGACTAAATATCAAATTAAAATAAGTTCCATTTTTAGAGTCCTTAACGAATACTGTCAAAAAATATTTTTTTCTAACGTTAACAACCTAATTACTCCAAGAAGAAATAAAACTAGTTTAAAAATAATAACACTATTTATATGATATAGAGAACGATGGGACTTAAATTAAATTCTTAGAAAAAATATCATTAAATTATTAAAATAGTTACAAATTATAATGAAGTAAATGAATAAAGAAAAATAACCAATGAGAGAGCGAATTCCGGAAGTAAAAATTCAATATTTTTCTCTGAAATGTAAAATATTGAATTAAACTGAATTTCACACACTGCAAAGAAATTAATGCGTTCATAAAACGAAATTTAAAAAAATAATAATAAAACAATATTGAGCTTAGACATTTTTTTATAGTAATATTGTAAAGCTAAATGTGTAATATTTAAATATTCATTAAAATACATGCATCTATCTAACTATTTAAAACCTTTAAAAATGAACCACGAATAAAATTGAATGAGAATTAGTTTTATACATTCTAATTAACAATACAATAGGTTTAGCGTTTTATTAATTCGCATGTATTGTGTGATATATGAATATTTATAAATGCAATTTCAAACCTTTTGTTAAGAGATTTTTGTTATCATCATCATTATTTTGATCACTTTAATCATTAATGCTATAGCAAGTATTTCAAAAGATAACACGTAGTAATGTCATCAAAATAAAAAATCCAGCTCACAAAATTTTACAAAGTGAATGCTAATTAAAAATTGCATATAATTTAAGAAGAATAAGAAAAGCTATAAAGCATTTCATCATAAAATAAAAGGATTTTATTTTTTAAGATATCTATAGTGTTGAAACGATACAAAGAGATTATGAATGGATACCGAGTTTAAGAATGAAACACCTATGGAGTGTTAAAAATATTTTCCTATTTATTTTCTCTTCCTTTAATCCCTTAAGAGGTTTGCCCGTATAAAGTACGGGATACCGAAAGTTGGCCGCAACTGGTTTACCTGTACGCTGTACGAGTACTCTCTCTGATATGTTCTTTCTTTCTTCGCTTTGCGCTTATTTTTAATTCTTATGGTGTATTATTTAGTGCTAAGCTGAAGGTGAAAAAGTGGTGTAGTTTGTCTAAGGCACTGAAATGCTTTTCTCGTCCGGCATTTTTTTGTGGTGAAGGCGGGAATTAGCATGGTGTTTTGTTACAAGCAATTAAAAGAATGTGCCTTTTTTGCAGTATTTTGGGTAAAAAAAAAATGACCGCTTAAGGGGTCAAGTGACCATGATAGCCGAGTGGTAGTCTCGAACACGTAGCTGGCGTTGTCGAACCGCGGTTTTGAGTCCTGATGCTACAGATGACCCGCCACGTAGAGGGGCTGATGCACGTTACATCTGTCAGGGCTCATTGTCCTCACGTTAACATGTTGTGGAAATTTGGAGTACCAGTTGGTTGTCGTCCTCATCACTTAAAATGAAATTTAAAACTACAAGATTCATCGCCAACAGGCCTCAAGTAGCTTCGAAGTGCGATATAATAAACAATCATCTTCTTTTAACGATCAATACAATTACTCAATCAGTAACACTTAAAACTTTGATATTTGAAATGGATATAAATATGTATGAAATGTGCAGAAAATTTCTTTTTCATACCAAATGACAGATTGAGTATTTCGAATACTTCAAGAAGGTACAAGTATATACTTTAGAGTGAAATATCATTATTTGAATAAAAGAGATTTTATAGTCATACTTTGACGAGTTCTTGGCTAGAAAAAGCTCTGGAGCCTCTATTACTTTCTGGTATTTTTCTTAATTACTTGAACTTTCCGAAATAAATATTTTAAATATATTTATTTTCCTGTAATGCCTTCAGTGAATTTTCAGGAAAATATTGCTTTTTTCTCTCAACTATACATAACACTAATGTCTGTAATTTCGCCAGGCATTGGATACAATGTTAATTCACATATTACAGATGTTAAATCAAGATTACAAGTCACTAACATCATGTTACAAAGTTTTCACTTTCTGGTACAACATAATTAATTTTCATGTCATTACAAAAATAAAACCTAACGACATTCTGCTGTCCAATATTTCACAAAGTGGTGTAAAAAAGAAACACTCATCACATTTTTCTTTTCGGAAATCAGTCATTCTCACATCCCGTCAACTATCAACTCCAGCCCGTTTGGGGAAATAAATCCCCGTTACGGAGTATAAATACAGGAGCATAATTACCTCTTGAGATCTGTGAAAGCCAAGATCACGAAACTAAATTGGGAGAGGGGGGATACAAACACAATCTGATGAGCCTACGCTGGAGGGGGGAGAAATAACAGGGAGAGTTAATCTACAACTGGTTTACATCCTAATTTCCCTCTTCAATTTCGGGTCAAAAGCTGAATGAAACAGATGTTCATCAGTAGGCGGGAGGGGGGAGAAAAAAGAAGAAAAAAAAGACGGTGGTCGGCCTTGAGAAAACAACGTTGCACTTTTGTAAACCACGTGCTGCTGTTGTAGGATAGGTCGTTGAAACAAAATACAAAAGGAAAAGGCGAAGGGATGTTGATAAACGATTTCAATAGATAAAAGGAAACGAGTGGTCAGAATAACGGACGAGTGACTTATCGGGATTGAGAAGTTCTATAAGGTAATAAATGCAAACACGAAAGATATAAATGACATAACGGTAATTAATATGGCCATCTGGGCTATTTTGGCGAAAGAGATAGAGAAGTCATTAACACTGTGTTATGTTTGATGACTCGATCTGTGTTGTCATGTTGTCTTCATTATAATTTCGTTTCGAATTCTTAATGGGATATGTTGGTTGGGTGGGGACGATTGTAGTTAAGATAAACAAAATAGGCAACGAGTTCGGAAAGAATAATAAAGAAAAGTAATTACCATTTTACAATCTGATGTTGTTTACGACAATGACTATTCAATTGAATGTTCTGTTAACAAGTGTTTCGGAGGAAAATATTTTGTGTTATTGAGAGATTTCATACATATGAAATATATTAATAACAAGTAATATAAAAAAAATTAAGTAAATTCCTACTTAAGTAACAAAAAAATTATTTTAGTTTCTTTTTATTAAATAATTACAATTGATATAAATGTGTATATACTCGTACAAATGGCAAAATCACAATATTAAGTGATAAAATACAAAGCAAATTTCCCATTTTCCTTTCTATATATGGTGTTGGAATATTATTTTAGTTTGTTACTATTTATTCATTCATAAATCACGTTCTCAGAAATTAGGCTATCCCAGATAGGATTCGAATCCACGACCTTTGGATTAGAAGTCCAACGCGCTATCCATTGGCGCTACAGGGGCACAGCGAACGATTTTCCTTTTTATATATGGTGTTGGACTATTATTTTTGTTTGTTACTATTTATTCATTATTTAAATTTAATTAATGAATTAATATTTGAAAAAGCTATATTAAAATCAAGTGTCATCTTCTACAAGTTTTAAAAAAATGTATTTGAATTTGAGTGGATGAATAAAAAGTATTTTACTAACGATTGAAAATGTGAAAAAGATATATATATATATATATATATATATATATAAGTATATATACACAGGGAGAGTGTGGAATAATAGTAGGAATGAAAAAATGTAAGTGTTACTTTAAGAAATAATGCCTAGTTATTCATTTTTCTTAAACTGTTTCAACATCAAAATAAAAAGGAAATGTACACGCAGGATATGAAATATATTAACCTTTAATAATTTACAGTAAAAATACTCTGTATATCATAAAGAAATTAGTTTTTCTAACGATATTTAACAACTATAAAAGAATTTTTACAAAACAAAACTCATGAATATTTGACAAAAACAAAAATTAATTTTAATTTTATGAAAAACATAAACATTCACAGAAAATTAATAAAATAACAGAATTCAAAAATTTTCATGAATGGAAAAAGTATATTTTGATTCATACGGAAAAAGTCGAATTATTTAAACAAAATCCATAAGATGTGTTTTTCCCCATCAATGTTTAAGTTACGAACAAGAACCTGATTTGGTAAAAACAAATATCTATTATAGTAACGAATAGCATAATAATAGTATCTTTTGCTTTAGAAAAATATTTTGTATCCTAAGAAATATTTTAAAAAGACAAAATTAAAAGCAACAAACGAAATAATACAAATTTATAAACATACGACTTATTTAATAACAAACAATCAAATAAGTTATAAAGCCCCAAAAATTCTGTAAATATTTCAACAGACATTATTAATGAACATTTCACGACATCCTAATACACTTATAGTGAAGATGAATCACATAACTCGTTAGAATAGAAATGTTTCGCTTGTTTAAAAGAATAGCTTGTTATATTACTAATATTTTTTACAGAACAGACAAACTTATCATGCCATCTCGTTATGCAAAACACAATAAAAAAACCAATTCTTACAAAAATGAAAGGTCATTGACCTTATAAATAACGTTACATACAATTTTAAAGAAGTTAAGCATTACGTAATCAAGTGATACATTAAAGGATTGGATAGATATTATAGTTCATAAGTACTAGACTAAGTAATGTCCTATCTAGTAACTGGAAACCAGACATTTTTTTTCATACATTCCTTTTCATTATTTATTAAAAAAAAATTAATCTTTTTTTTTAGTCTGAAATAAATGAGCAAAAAAAAAATTCACGCTCTTCGCCTTCATGTCTCACAAGATTTTACATTTGTTGGTATTTATTAAAAAGTTTTTCGAATAGTTATATTCTTCTTTAAATGATTTAACCCAGCATATCAATAAAAAATACGTTTAATTATTATTTTTATTTTTTGAAACTTTATATGACTATATTGAATAAACATAGTATTTAATTCAAGGTTGTACGCATTGTTTTCAAAACATTTCTCGAATTCGCATTGAAACTCAATCTCTATTCTGCTTAGCAGTCACAACTTTTTTTCCTAGAAAAATTACAAATAAAACGAACACGTAAATATCAAGGTACATTTTAACTCACACACTGTTAGAAAAAACATGCGTACACCTCGCAGTTAGACAGAGACAGACCGAAAGTAATGTGCGATGAAAACTATGTCAATAACACACACAAACGTAAATAAAAATGAAAATGCAATTGTTGCGTAACGCGAAGAACTCGTTATTTTGCCCAACTGAAATACATTTATGGGAATGTATATATAAATTAATTCTACGGAAATTCTCCTGACCGTTCACTCTTGTTTCTGTAAGCTCATTAACGAAAAAAAAGCTCTAATATAAGTACACAATGCAAGCTTACCCTCATAAACCACACCCTCTTAGAGGATAAAAAAGAAAAGATGAAGAGAGAGAGAGAGAGAGAGAGAGAAGTGAAAAAAAGAATACACACGACTCCAGGGACTAGACTCTCTTTTTGATTGACAAAGTAAATTGTACAGGAAAGCCAAAACATTTGTCTCACGAGGATTCATATATATTCCACTCAATAGAGGATAGCCCCTCAGCAATTCACATTTTAGAAGATCGTTCGATGAATTAAAGTGCGGAAGCTCGAATTATATTAACAGGATGAGTTCAGTGTACTCTAGTTCAGAATTGTTCGGTTGTAGTAGGGTTGGGTATAGATAAAAGTTTAATTCAGGATATTCATTCAGCTTCACGTTTTGCTACTTCTACAAGATTTAAAGAATCAGATTTAATCCATTATAGATTATTTAATGTGTTTTTCATTCATTGATTTTTAAGGTATCCGACTACGTTCGGAACAATGATTTTGCAAAAGCGAATAAATGGATAATTTTCATGATATTTAGTGTCACTTAGATTAGGATACATGTATAAAATAGTTTTAAGAACATTTTGACAAAAAAATTATTTAAATACAATATTTCGGCAAAAAATTAACTTAGAATAATCTTTTTTCAAGATGTTCTCCTTTTGTGAAAAATGTTTCTATTATAATATTATTTTGCCTGTATATAGCTCAGACCTCTCTACAGAGGCTCAACTAGAATTTTTGAAATATATAACTTAGAAGTGGGTTTATTCATATTTTACGACAACAGAGGAAAGCAATTTTAAGAAAAAAACGCCAATAATTATTTCAATTGGTGGTAACTCTGAAAATAATGTGATTTTTTTCAAAAATTCTAGTTGAGCCTCTGTAGAGAGGTCTCAGCTATATACAGGCAAAATATTATTATAATAGAAGCATTTTTCACAAAAGGAGAACATTTTGAAAAAAGATTATTCTAAGTTAATTTTTTGCCGAAATATTGTATTTAAATAATTTTTTTTGACAAAACATCCTTAAAACAATTTTATGCGTGTATTCTAATTTGAGTGACACTAAATATCATGAAAATTATTGATTTATGCGCTTTTTTAAAATCACGGTTCCGACGTAGTCGGATACCTTAAGCTGATTGAGAATACTTTTTTTTTCTTTTACTCCACCAGCTAAAAAAATTTTTGTTTGCATTATAGAAATATTGATTAAATACACAAGGGAAAGATAGCGAAGAGCAACCTTGCATTGATACCTCATACCCAAATTTCCACACCATGTCAACTGTGAATTTTGAAAACTCTAACTTTTTCAATGCGAACGTTATTAGGTGGAATTGCGTTCCGAAATGGCAATCCCTGATAATTATATTAATATATAGGCCTAGAATCTGTCAACTATACTTAAGGATTAAAAATAATTCATGTATTGTTCATATTATACGTTTACAATTATAAAAAAATATTGTATTTGGAAAAAAGTACAATTAACACATTCAAATCACGTGAGAATATAAGTTTTTATATTAAAGAATCATCCCTTCCCAAGTGACGTAACGTACACCCTCGCATCATGGGGGGGGGCAGAATTTTAGGGGGCCAAAGCATGACTGATGTCATATACTTGCCCTTGGTAAGATCTGGCTTGGGGCCCAAGACTTGACTTTGTAGGTGGGAGGAGATCCTAATATTCTCCGTTACGCCACTGCCCCGTAAGTAAATAATAAGTTTCTATTGCATATTATTTTATGAACACCGAAAAAACATTACGTAAATATATGTATAAATACAATACACTTTTAAGTATTTATTATTTTCTTCACTCATTTATATTGAAATAATACATATACTTCGCGTTCCAATTTAATATGGGAATAATTCATAATGTAGTAATGAGCATTTCGGGGTTTTACATTAAAAAAACATATTTTAAACATTCAGTGGAAACAATTCCGATGAAATTGATTTTACGATTTAAATTGATCTGAAATTACTCCTAAAATATTTTCCTTCTTTTAAAATTCTAAGAATTGCATATAAAATTACTTTTAATACTTTTTTTTTTTTTTGTGGAAAGTTTTGCATTGCTTCAATATTTAATTATTTTTATGATATAACACTGCAAATTGATCTTATGGTATGTCATTTAAGAGTCATGGAAGCATAATAAACACATTTAATCACTTTCATGAGCTAAATACACAACATCGTGAATTTTCAATAACACTCAAAAGTTAATTGAAAATTCAATATTTAAATTTATTATTTTTTTAGTTCATAAGATGAAATGCTACGCAAAGTCATAATTTTCAGTTAATTAATTCAGCTCTTTTCACTGGTTGACGACATTTTTTCAGTGTTTTAAAATTAATTTAAAGCCTAAAATAAATTGATTGAACTGACCCATTTCAGATTTTCCTCTGTGCTGTTACAAAGATCAGCATTATGAGAACCATTCACTGTTAATAGATTAACGAAAAATAAGATAAATAATTATAAGGAATACAATCATGGGAAATTTATTTATTAAAAACCAGTTTTTACATCACATCATATCGCTTTTTGAAAGTCAAACAAACAGAAAGCGTTCGAGAAAAAATACCATATACTTACGTTAAAACGATTAGAATTACGTTTCTCAAAATGATATCTCAACTTACTTGAATATTTTAAAGGCACGGTATGTGTTTTGACTAAATTTTTTTTTTTTTTTGTAATTAAAGAAACTTTTTGTACAAAAAAACCAAGAAAAAGTTTTAATTGAAATATTGCATCAAATAAGAGCTAGCAATGCAGTCTTTACCTCTATGAACACATGAGTGGAAGATAAGGTAAAAAGGCTGCTGTTTATAACAATCAAGGTAACGTACCGTATTTTCCATTCTTAAAACACATACTCGGATAGTGAGACTTAAGACTTAGTTCTTTGAAATTTTAATTACATTAAATTTGATTACATTTGGACATAAACAGTAACTGGGCATAATTGGATGTTTGATGTCTATCGCAGAATCGTACTTGTGGTTCGACCTCCAAATCTCATGGCTTCTTTCT